TCCGCCACATACCCTAAGCTATTCACAGGTTCCAGGGAGTTAGGGGGCGGGTATCTTTGGAAGGCATCATCATTCTGCCTACCACAGGCTATAACAAACAAAACAAAACAAAGCTAATCTCAAAGGCTTACATAAATAAAAGTTTATTCGTGGCCCTCATCGGGCATCTTTGCCGGGACAGCCTTCCTGGGGACTGTGTTCAGGGACCCCAGGCTCCTTCCAGCATCTGGGTCCACCTTCCAACGGGGCTTCACGGTTTTCTCCATTCAGTTACCATGTGCAGAAAGAGAGCAAGGCTCTCGTGTGTGTCATTTTATGGATCAGGCCTGGAAATAGTGAAGGTTATTTCCTCCCATATTCCCTGGGCAGTTCTCAATTATGTGGCTATGAGACAGCCTGGGGTCTGGGACCTGGGACCCTTTGCCACAGTGCTTGCATCTGGACAAACGTCTCTTTGAGCAACAAAATACAGAGAAACTATGAGGAACTAAAAATAGCTGCACACATGCACAATTGGGGCAAATTATGAACAATAAGATACAAAAAGACCAAAAACCCAACTGCCACTTCTGAGGAGCCGGGAGCGACAGCAGAGTCCTGCGCAGGCCCCGTGCACTCAACACCACCAAGGGGTGGGCAGCCCACTTCAGCCACCACTCCTGCCCGACCCCTGGACCCACGCCTACCCTCACCCCGTACAAGGAGCCCTCGCCCCCACTTCGGGGAGCAAGCAAGGGACCTGTTACTTGTTTTCTCTCCCCCGCTGCTGCAGCAGGGGCCCCAGTAAAGCCTTGCCTGAATTTCTGGACTGTCCCCTGATCAATTTCCATCGATTAAGGAGGCCAAGAACCCCGGTTGGTAGTAGCCACACCTAAGAACAATGGAAGTCGGGAAATGGAGCCTATCCGTGTGCTTGGGAAGGAAAGGAAATACACTCGATGAAGAGCTGGTCAGCCTCTTCCCAGTCTGTTCCTGGCCCCCAAACATCTGTTTCATCCTCCTACTACACCTGGAACACACCTGTCCTTCCAGAAGGTAGAAAACCCAAGGTCACCCCCAGTCATTGCCTCAAGTTCAAATCCCAGATCTCTGAGTGATGTTCAGACCTCTAAATCAGGACTGAAGAAGGTTCCTTGAACCTATGAACCCTATGTCCACGCACACACGCACACGCACACACAATATCCAATGGTGATATATAGATAGGAAAATACGTTTTTAACCTCTTGTTTGGAAAAGGAAAGAATGAAAGACACACAGCTGTTCCTGCTTCACAACAATTTTGAAATTCTTCTGGACAGATGTTACGGAGGACCCTACTCTTTGGGTAGGGCAGGTTTTTCATTTCATCCTGAATTACGCTCTCTAGAACCTCCCTCTCTAGTGCTCTCCATGGCTCCGGCCTCAGGCCTCTGGGAGGTGCTTCTGTGTCCACCACTCACCATGGCCTTAATAAAGTGGGTACTGGGGACTGTACTTGGCCCTGGTGAAGTCAGGGGACCCAGCAGTAACCTTAAAGCTTATGAAGTCAGTCTTTTAGACCAAAGCTCATCGCATCCTTAATGATATAATCGTCTCCAAAATTAGCATGCTTCATAATCTTTTTATTTCTAGGTAGTTCCATGTGCCAGTAACTGCGTTTGAAGTTTCTTTCACAGCAATATTTCTCATCTGGTTTTCTCATTTGCTTCCTCCAAGCCAGTCTCATCCTCCTCAAAGCGTCAGAAACTACATGTTTGAAGACCGTCCCTTTCATCTGACCTTTATCTTATGGTTGTGTGCTTTTGTTCTGCTTTGAGTTTTGCTAAGAATCTTACTATACTTTGTCATTCAGAGCCTTTTTCAATTATCTCTATTACCTGGGGTTCCAAAGGAGATTTTCAAAGCCTAAAAGTTACTGATCTCTGGATGCTATATACACCTTGATTTCTGCTTCAAAACAAGCTGGGTTTTGTCTGTGTTCATCTCTTGTTGTATATTGCTAAGAGTAGCCAGTAGTAGCAAATAGACACTGTTAATCGCATTCTTATCAACATCTTGTGTAAGAGCTACAGGCTTAATTGTTACATGAGGTCTGGGCTGGCTTCCTATTTACCGTGCTCAACAGTTCTGTTATGTATTTTGATGTGGAAAACCATGGACTAGACCTCCATCTTTCTAGCCTCCTATGTCAGGTTCTCTACTACTTGCTGACTAAAAAGCCAGTGCCACAAATTTGAAGTTTGTGCTGTGTTAGCACCCAGCTTGCAAATACCAATTTCTAAATAAGTTAAGGTATTATAACAGAAGCTTTAGCATACTGATGATTTAGTTCTAGCTCATATCATGGTCCATAGAGGCTAATTCCGATCAAGCAGCTTTATATGTGGTCATTCAAGGACTCAAGTTCCTTCCATATCTGTAGTTCTGTCTTATTATAGGTTCACAGATCCTTCACCTTTCAGGAACAGATAGAGCAAGGATCACTCGTACAATTTTGTTACAAACTGAGTCAGAAGTGGATATCACTCTTGCCCACATTCTGTTGTCCAGGATTAAGTCATGTGGCTACATCTAGTTGCAAAGGGTGATAGGATGCATATTGTCACTGTGTTTCCAGTGGGAAAAGGTAATGGAATTTGCTGCATGTCTGCAGTCTCTGTCACACCAGAGGACGCAGAATTGAGTGTACTGTGCTCCAAAAGCCAGCTGCACTTTGTTATACCGTGTTGATCAGGGTCCTATGAACTATCGTTGATAGTTATTGAATATTAAGCGGCAAAAGCGCTGTTGATAGAATAATATTCATCTGCAAGTCATTTTGAAATCTCGAGGTGTTCAAAGCATTGTAGATCAGAAGTCATTTATTTACACAAATATATTATTATGTTATTATATGTATTATTGATACATTTTCGATGATATCTGGTAATCAGACATCGTGTTAAGTGCTAGACTAATGGAGATCAAGAGGATACATTCTTGTCCTCAAAAAGCTCTCAGTATTCCAGAGGAGGCAAACATGTACACAACTGACTTAAAATACAACTCGTTTTTTTCTATAATAAAGCTATATATGTTTGGGGTTAATATATACACCCTAGTATATATAAAATGGATAAACAACAAGGACCTACTGTATAGCTCAGGGCACTATATTCAATATCTTGTAAAAACCTGTAATGGAGAAGAATCTAAAAAAGAGTCTATCTATCTCTCTATAACTGAATCACTTTGCTGTACACCTGAAACCAGCACAACATTGTAAATTAACTATATACTTCAATAAAAAAATGGTTTAAAAAACTATATATGTGCTATAGAAGCACAAAAAAAGGAACTGTTACGTCCTGGTCTTATAGAGAAGTAAATAGGGATGGTGAGAAAAAAGTCAACAGTAATTAATGATGTCCTGTTTTTGTTTTTTTGCTTTGCTATGTAAGTGTACTATCTCATTAAATAAGAAAGCTTGTGAGGAGGGGGTTATCAAAATACTAAACACGCCAAACTGAAAAAGTAAAAATGAAAAGTATTTTAAAAGGTCAGAGGTTTTTCTAGTTCAGTGTTTAGGAAAGAGTTATTGAAATCTTAAAATCTAGAATAATGTTCAAGCTAAGAAAATCAGCAAAGCCATTCCCGCCCCCCCTTTCGTGGTTGCCATTTGGACTGAATAAGTTAATGGTCGAAAGTTTGTTTCTGAGATGCCTCCAGTAGGGCACTTGGGCCACCTCCCATGATGGTAGGTCCCTGCTGGGTCTGATGAAGCCAGACTTTCATTAAGCCTCTCACCACCAGTGGCTGGAACCCATCCACTTCATGCGAATAGACAACCACAAGTATTCCGTTCCGTATATCAGTACCAGAAACTAGAAGCATGGAATGCACACAGTATGCTTTGAACCTCATAATTGTTCCTTGTAATAATAATTTTTTACATTTGAACCTATGAGTTATCAAGGAAAAAGAAATACAAAGCCACTCTGGTTAAAGGATAGACTTAAAATAACAGGAATTATGGAGATGGAAAAATACCACTTTTCTTTGTTGGCCCAAGGATTTATGTTCGGGGAAAAAATGATTCAGAGGTGATGGCCTTTCTTGGATATTAACAAACTGTAGAACAGTTTGCATCCCTGACAGTGGATGGTGTGTAAATTCTGATAGGGAGGGAGCTGTGGCAGAGAACAAAAGAGAGCTAAGCTCAGGCAACTTGATGTTTACAAAGGGAGAGACTCTGGATTCTTTTTGTAAGGAAAATTTATTATGAAAGTCTCTTCAGCCTTTACTGGAGAGTGAGAACATTTGTTGTGCTTTAAACTAGAATACGAATATTGCTGAAAGTGATATATCCATACAAACAACATGTTTTTCCCAGCCAACTTGTTATAGTTAACTCACGCTTATCAGATTCTGAGCCGTATACAAATGAGCTCCAGATGGGAGAAACAGTCAAACATTTAAACATTAGAAATCCCGCAACAAAGAATAAAGAAAAGATAGACTTTTTTTTCCCCCAAATTTCCAAAGAGGAGAAATTGAAAGGAAAACGTTGACAGTTGGAGTTTCACTACATTTTAAAAATTTCATACTTAAAAAAAATATTTTTTATTGAGAGGCAAACTACAGAGGACAAAACAGGGGAAAGAGTTTGTCTCTCTTCTTAATGCCACATGCAAATTTATAACAAAATAATTAATAGATATACTGTCCAATGTTACAGCTCATTTATAAGTGAGCAAATATAAATAATAGATATGCAAATAAAAATGTTTATGCTAGTAATTTAAAAATTATCATTAAATTGAGATTACATTTCACCTATTAAATTATAATAAACCTCAAAACAGAACTTTAAAGGGAGCAAAACATCATGGAACTGATTTTCCTTCATCCCTGATGATGTTTGTAAACCGGTAAAAATGTTTTGGAAAATGCAACTTGAAATTTCACGTACTTGTTGATTGAATGAGCTGGGTTCAGAGGTGTGAAACTGTGAAATAATTCTATTTTTTCTTCCACAGTAGCCTGTCCAAATTGTGTGTTGGATCTTCCTTCTTTGCCTTTGGACGAAAACCTCTGGTAGACTCATCCTCAGGTACACAGAAGTCCAGTTTGAGACTAAGAAACAAAACACAGCACCAATCCTTCATTGTATAACGCCGTTTCAGGCCTCTTCTCTGGACTCCTAACTTGGAACTGGTAACCCTCTAGTGGGAAGGTGGATACTCCGTCGTTTTTCCGCCTTGTTCTTTCATTCCTCCTCCCTTACTGTGTTGCTTCTTGGCTCCCCCTTGGCGATAAGGAGTCCGAGAGGAGGAATCAGGGCTCAGAAATGATCTATCAGTTGGTGCAGTGTGTAATCTGGGTCCAGAGTCCGATGATGGAGACAGGTACTTAAATGCCGTCTTTCTGCCTCAGGGTATCTATGGATTCTTCGAAGACTAACTACCGCGGACGCTGTGCGCTGACCTGAGCGACGCCCGACGTGTGCCTGCGCAGGACGTCCATCTACTTCCGCTTCTGGTGCTGAGCTCTGCATGACCTTTTACTCCCGTGGGCCCTCAGCCCTTGTAGGAAACCACATGATGAGATCCTCTCCAGGTGGCGCCTGCCTCCCTGCCCTCTGTAGAGTCCACCCTGATCCAGTATTTTCTCTGTGTTCAGCCATGCGGATTCCTTCCATCCAACCTCTTGCCTTCAAAGTTTTTCAGGCGAGAGCCAGCCTCTTTGTTTTCCAAATTCCTCACATGTCAAGATCAAAGTTTTCTCACTGGACCTGAGGTTGGTTAACAAAGCGTAGTGGAGGGGAAGAAAAGCGTGGGGTTTACTGACAGTTGTTCTAAAACATTATTTATCCATCTTCCTAATGCACTCTTAGCTTTTGTTCTATAATGGAAGGTAGGCGATAGGCTAAGCGGGCCCGAACCTGGTTTTGGCAGCCTCCTTTGCAGGTCACGTGTAAACGACCGGGCGTCTCTCTCTAGGAGGCAGGGGCATTTGTCACATAACTTCTCAGCTTTGAAATCCCAGCCAAAACTGAAACAATGGAACAAATCCCATTTAGACTTCACACATATAAAAAAAAATCTTCAAAATTTTCTAAACGTTGTAGACCATGGGGCGGAAAAGACCCCGTGGATTATGTAAGAGCATGTTCTGCATTAAGATAGTTGTTGTAGTGTTAATTATAAAACTGTAAAATTCCAAAATGGTAATTTGGAGGTAATCCAGAGTCCTGTGATAGGAGGATGGCTCAGGAAGTGAGGACATATCTCTATTAAGGGAGACCATGCTACTAAAATAACAGTAACAGACTACGCCGTCATGTGGGAAAATACAGTTCAACATTAAGTGGGAAAAGCAAGATACAAAACTGTCTTCACGCTACGTTTACAACTCTGTAAGATACTTATTAAGAAGCTTGGGCTAGGTAGTCAAACAGTTAGTTTTCTACTCACTCCTCTGTGACTTGGTAGTTTGATAGCCTTGGGGCAGTTATTTAAAACCTCCAGCTCTTCTCTCTAAAAGAAGGATCATGCTTGCTATTGTTGTCATGAGACTTACGTGAGCTGAGGCAGAGAAAGTCTTACTGGGAACTTAGTAATTACTCAAAAAGCTTGGGAAAGACATACAAAAATGAAAAATAGGAATGAGGTTAAAATAGTAATATTTCTTTTACCTTGTTTATAATCTTCCCCTAACAATGTTATATTACTTCCATAATTAAAAACAGACTCGAAGAAACCGAGTTATCAGCAGGCCAATATCCTGGTGATGCCACAGCCCACAGAGTCGGAGGATGACTCCTAAACGGGAGGCTGTACCGAGCTGAGGCTTCCTCACATTTCATGCACAAATCTGCTTCCCAGCAGATCGTGCGAAACAGTCTAAAAAAACACATCCCAATTATTGGTGTTCTCCAGCCATCTTTGCATCCCCTGGGTATCACTCCCTTAGACTTCAGATGTATGCTACAGTGGCTCACCTTGCTTCTTCCCAGTCCATTTATGTCACATGATACAACCCAAATAAAATATTTCAGAAATAAACCAAGGCTAATATCTTCTGATGCAAGAGGGAAAATTACAGTCTCCTAGAGTAGGTTTAATTCAAACAAGAGAATATATCTTGGCAAACCTTCCAATGACTTTTATTACAGTTTACTGTATGCCCTCATTATCAGAACTATAATATGCATATACCTTGGGTATTAAAGTAAACCACTTTTGAAGGTTTGCAAATAAACTCCCTTCCTAATGCATTATCACTCTTTCATTTACTGCTATTTGCACTTGTAAAAACATTACATGCATTATTTCAAACTAAGAAGAGAGCCAACCATAGCGTTTAAAAAGGATGAAAAGGTTGAAAATTTTAAAGGTCTTTGTTGAATGGATTTATGACTAGGACCTTGACCGTTTCCCAGAAACATGTGATTAACCTAAACTAATCTCTCAAGTCTAAGTAAAATTAACTTTTGCATATTTACTTTTTACGTGGCTTTATGCTGTCACTTCTAGTGAGAACTAGTCAACTTGCTCAATCAATAATAAAAAAATCTATATTCTCATACTTGAAGGGAAATTTAAATAATTACAACTGCATGTCCCGTTTCATGGTTATACCGGGATAAATGATTAAAAACAACCCCCCAAATAGAAACATATCCAACAGAACATTTAAGAATTATCTTCCTTTGACCTTTTATTATTTAAAGAAAAGATGGTAAAGTTTGGCTGGGACCTTGCAGTCAATTATTTTTAGAAGGAACTGGGGGACTTCCCTGGTGGCGCAGTGGTTAAGAATCTGCTCGTCAATGCAGGGGACACGGGTTCGAGCCCTGGTCCAGGAAGATCCCACATGCCGCAGAGCAGCTAAGCCCGTGCACTACAACTACTGAGCCTGCGCTCTAGAGCCCATGAGCCACGACTACTGAGCCCGCGTGCCTAGAGCCCGTGCTCCGCAACAAGAGAAGCCACCGCAATGAGAAGCCCACGCACCACAACGAAGAGTAGCCCCTGCTCGCCACAACTAGAGAAAACCCCGTGCATGGCAACGAAGACCCAGTGCAGCGAAAAGATTTTTAAAAGTCATAAAAGGAACGTGGAGTTGAGGTTAGTAGCTCATGGAAATTTGAGTCCAGTGGTGTATCAGTCAACTTTGGCTAGAAAACAACAATAAGAACTCAGTGGCACACGGTGTCTCACTTACGTGTCTGCCTGGCAGAAGGGGGGCAGGACTTCTCTGGTCTTGGCTGGGATCAGCTGGACTTGGGCTCCAGCCACAGATTCAGATCAGCTTTGTTGCAGGTTTGTCCTCAGGGACCAGGAACCAGGAGACTAGATGGGGAATGTGCTCATGAAGGGGGAGGGATGATCCCAAAGAGGATGAAGAAAAGCAAACGATGCCTCTCGAGGCCCAGACTTGGAACTTGCACACTATCCTTTCCACGCCCCCATCATTGTAGGTCACATGTTCATGTGTTGGAGAAATACACTCCTCCCACAGAGGGTGGGGAAGGAGAGACGGACTGTCCCTGACTAACAGTCTAATCTAACACGAGCAATACATACATTGTACTTCATGTTCCTGTAACGATGCCATGATCACATCAACCTCATTGCTAAATTCTCTCACTTTTTTTCTCTTTAGTGTCTCTCGTACCTCTCCAGTGTTCTCCATTCCTTGGTTACGTGTGTAACATACTTTCCTTAAACTATTACAGTGGATTTCCTCCCTGTGTTTCAGGCACCTTACCTGTACCTTCTACAAGACTGTCATTGTTAACTTCTTAACATAAAATTTGGACATATTATTCCTCCCCTTATAATTCAATGAACTCTCCATCCTGACAGGGGGGCAGACTTTCTTAACATGGAATAAATGACCCTGTCCGTCTAATTTGTTCCTTTCCCCTCATCCCTTTCCCGAACCAATTTCCATATTACGTTTTAGACATGCATACTCTTCCTACGATCTCTCACACGCTCCAGGCCCCTGCATCTGCCGTAGCATCTATCCTGTCCCCCTGGTCCATGGGTCAGAATCCTCGTCATCCTTCAGCTGCAGCACTTGTCTGAAGCTGTACCAATCAGGCAAGGGTAATGTATAGAGCAGTAACAAATGGCGGTGGCTTCTAACTACAAAGCTTGCTTTCTTGTTCAAATATATGTTCATTGCTGGCTGGCTTTGGATCGCTTCCTTCCAGGATTCAGTCTGATAGAGTAGCTCTTATAAAATGAGACATTTCACCATAGGATAAATCAAAAGGTAGCATGCACTGGCTCTTAAAACTTCTGCTTGGGAGTGACCCACGCCACTTCCACTCATTTTATTGGCTAAAGCAAGTCACATATCCACGTCAGAGTACAGTAGGATGGAGGTGAAAACCTGTTCTTCCGAGACAGACACCTGAATGTCAGCTAGTAAGTATTTTGAAGAATAAGAAGATACACCACAGAAGCTGTCCTTTTGTCTTCCTATTAGACTTAAAGATTCCTTCCACAATGTAACAACAACAATTAATATGTCTACTTTGTATTTAAAGGAATAGGGGTGTATATAATACATGCATCTTCATGGGTCACCCAGTTCACTGATACACACATTTTCTACTTTCCACTCAGTGGTGTTACTCAACTTTCTGCCACAACGTAACAAAGATCCCTCTTCTTCCAGTTTGCAATAACATTTACCTCATTGCCTGCCAGCCTTCACCTGGAGCTTGATGAATGACCACAGGCTTCTATCGACAATTTCTTCCAGGCCCTCAGGCTGTTCCTAACACTTTTCTCAAAGCCCACTGCCTAGTTCCAAAGCCACCCCCAAATTTTGGGTTCGTATTTTGGCAATGTTCCACTCTTGATATTAATATATGTGTTAGTTATATATTGCTCTGTGATAAATTACTACAAAACTTAGCATCCTAAAAAAACAAACACTCATGATCTCAGTTTCTGAATGATCTAGCCAAGAATGTTTCTAGCCCGGGTGTTGAGGGTGCCGCTTGGTTTCTTCTTTCTGCTTTCAGTAAGATGCAAGAAGGGAGAGAGAAGCTAAAGAAAAGGCTGTTGATTTGTTTTAATTATTGTTTTGAAGATTCCCAGGGTCTAGCACAGGGTTCAATGCATAGAGGAAAGAGACGCGAATAAAAATGACTAACTGAATGAATGAATAAAAATGTAACCAAGATAGTAGGACATGGAATGTCCTCTGTATGATACTGCAGTGGTGGATACGTCACTACACGTTTGTCAAAACTAATAAAATGTACACCACCAAGAGTGAACCCTAAGGTAAACTATAGACTTCAAGTGATAATGATGTGTCAACACAGGTTCACTAACTGTAACAAATATTCTCCTCTGGTGGGGGATGGTGATACAGGGAAGCTGCGCCTCTGTGTGAGGAGAGGGGGTGTGGGAACGTTCTGTGCTTTCCTCTCAATTTTGCTGAGAATCTAGAACTGTAAAAAATCAAGTCTATTATCTTTTTTTTTGTGGTAAACAGACCTCTCACTGTTGTGGCCTCTCGTGTTGCGGAGCACAGGCTCCGGACGCGCAGGCTCAGCGGCCATGGCTCACGGCCCAGCCGCTCCGCGGCATGTGGGATCCTCCCGGACCAGGGCACGAACCCGCGTCCCCTGCATCGGCAGGCGGACTCTCAACCACTGCGCCATCAGGGAAGCCCCCTGTTATCTTTTTTAAAAATACCACTTGGGGGAAAATCTTTTAGCCAAAATAGTCTCACTTAAGTCAGTATATACTGAGCGTTCAGTTTTGACTGTTATCCCTGTGGCTCTGTTCCTGACCAAATTTAGGTGACTCTTGGAAGAGTCCACCAAGGACAAGTTTAATAATCAGAGGGACAGAAGTAAGAGGGTAGACAGGGCGACAAGTCCGAAGCCCACACCGAGTTTTTTCATTCCAGATCCTCTGATCCTAGATTGAATCTTTGGGTTTGGGTACCAGGTATGCATGCGTCAGTTCCTGGGACCCTTTTAAATTAGTTTATAATAGCATAGTACCATTTCAGTAGCTTCCCTAGGTTGGATTCAGTTGGTCAGTTGGCCCCTTCGTGCCTCAAAAACAGATTGGGGTCGCGGGTGTTTCTGTGACAAATTTGTTCCTTTATCAATGCCTTTGAAGAGCAGTGGGAATCAGCCATTTGGGACATCTGACTACCTGTTTTATTCCTTCCTGCACTGTGAATTTCTGCTAGGGCTTGTCAGATTTCTACTACTACTCCCAACCAAGATGTGGGAGAGTGATGCGTCTGCACGAAGAAAAGGACACCGTGGAGACCTGGGCGAGTGGGACCATAGCCTGCAATGTGGATCGCCAATGGTAAGTTTAATGTTTTACTTTACTCTGGGAGCACACCCAAGTAAGGGGATTATAATCCTTTAGCTGTGTTTTCAGGTGGCCTATGTTCCCTGGAAGGTCAAGGTACAGCCTATGAATTTGACCTGATGAAAGTTACTAAAAACAAGGCGTTAGAAAAGAGTCAGAGAAAAGGGTGAGCTTAGTAACGCCTGGGATGACTGCCTTGAACCCCACAGTTATCTACCTTCCTATGAAACGCCAGGAGTAATGTTCACCCTTAGTAATTGTAGCTAAACTGGAAACTGTACTAGACTGGAAATTATGGGGATTCCCCTGGCTGTAGAGGAAAGAGTCCTTTGGCTTCACCTCCGCCTGATACCCTGCTAGATGTGACAGCAATGACATCGGTTGCATGTATGGGTGGAGGGGAGTGAGAGACAGTTTCAGAGATAGGAAATTCCATTATGCATTCGGAAGAGCATTTCTTCTTGCTTGTTTATTCCCCACAGAGAACCAACGAGAAGCATTTTTTCTCCTTGTAAAATCAATGCCTTTAATTCTCTAAAATATATGGATGAGAAGGGAAATAATTTACTGCTTGGGCATTGGTTCTTGTCAAGGTGACAGGGTGAGTGTAGATGTGATTGAGAAATAACCATACAAAACTACTAGTCTTCTTTATTGACATTAGGCTGACTCTGGCCAATTTAGTCATGAAAAGCTAGAGACATTGCATAGCCATTGTGCTCATGCTTTCTGGTGGACCATCTACTTGTATGACCTCAGAATAAGGTCATGAAATGTGCCAGAGTTGGTGGAGAAAAACTTGTGTCTTTGAAATTTAAGAGCATTTGTTATTCCCTCTGGTGGCCTTTCTGAAATTCTGTGAGTAGGACTTACCTAGTTTGATTCTTCAGTACTTGGAAGTACTGAATAGTTTTTCTTGGAAGTGACCAGATGGAAAAAATTAAAAATGTTTTAGAAGAGCTATTAATGCTGGGTGGATTTTTTCTAGAAGCCTTTTTATTTTTATTTAGATTTCGATCAGGAATATTTATGAGATTAATATTAGCTTATCCAATGTGATAAAACGTGTTTTGGTTAGAATTTTAAGCCATGGCTGTATGCATTGATGGGCTCGACCTTGTTTTTGATGATCATCTTTACCTCTTGAGCATTTGGAAGACAACAAAATGAAACATTTTCACGACAAGTTTTGCTTCAAATGGCGTAAGCTATTGTCTTTAAAGATATGAACCTGAGGGAGCAGTGATACTGTCTCCAGAATCTTGTCATAGAGGACATTTAGTCCCATTTATGTTGCCCTAATGGATATTTCTTGGTGAAGAACAAGCTCCGAATGTATAACGGGGAGCCCTCAAAGAATGACCAGGGTTTTTTTTTTTTTAACTAGACTTCTTTTCCTAAAAGAGCAGTTTTACAGAAAAATACTGAGTAAACCCAAAGAAATTGATTTTCTTCTTAATATTTTGTAATCCTATGCTGTCAACCCATCTACAATTAGATAAAGTTTAGGTGTTGAAATTCTCAAAATTTCCACAGAAGGGAGAACATTTTGTAATATTTGCATGGTGCAGACACAAATGCTGTGGAGTGGACACAGAAAGAGCAGGCTTCTCACATCCAAGGAGACGCCAAACAATTGGATGCTGTGTGAGTGCAGGCGGGTGCCTTGGCCAGAAGAGCGCATCCAGGAGTTAGTGTGTTCCCCTTACAGTTTTACGAGGCAGAGGTTGCGATGTAGAAAGAAGAGAAGAGACTTTGGAATAAAGCAAACCTGGGTACAAATCATTAACAGCTTCATCTTCCAGAGATTGCCGAAGCTCTCCAAACATCTGTTTTCTCATTTCTTAATTTCTGAAAAATTTCTGTTAATAAATTTTTACCAGAAATAAAAGAGATGTTGGGAACCAGAGTATTTGGTGGTCACCAGGGCTGTCTTCCACTTGACCTTGGTATCTGTATGGGTTGGGTTTATATTTCATTTGTTAATGTCAGTCACCAGAAGGTACTCATTTGTGGGTCACAGTTTTCTCCATGCACTCATACGTTCAATAACTACTGTTATCCTCCAGGAATCGTACAAAGGACTTGTCAAGGTAAGTGTTAACCTGTTTGAGAGTCGAAACAAAGTATTCCTTTTAATCATAAAACATAGGTAGAGAAAGAAGTGAGGATGTCAAAGAAAGAAGCAATTATTTGTGTACTGTGTTTGTTTATTTCATGACATTTCCTTCTAGCAGTTTGCTTGCTTAATGAAAGCAGAGAAGACATGATACCAGGCCTCCTCGCTTTGCATCCCTGCATTCCTCCCGTTTCCAGCCCCTCTTGGCAGTGAAGTTTCTTGTCTCGTATTTACAATTGAATTCTTACTTCAACACTGCCCTTGTGACTGTAGTGGCTGATGATGGAGCATTCATACTGTTTCTCTTGGTACAGAGCCAATCACATAAAAAGTGCAGTGAGATCATTAACATCAAGTACAAATTCACATGTACCACGGATGGGTAGAGTACCAAAAGGAACCGAGAGAACTGTCAGAAAGAATCAGCCCAGCAGAGGACTGTCCATTTACAAAGCATCGTACGCAGCAGTATTTGGATTATGATGAAAAGTTCCACCTCCCCAGGTAGAGTCAGGTAGCCCCAGTTTTCAATTTTTTAATGATAATTTATAGGGATTGGTACGTTCTGTGTATATATTTTTTAATTATCCAAATTTTAATTTTGGAAAAGCAAATCAAATTGCATGAGTTCCTAGAACTGTTCTTTATGGTGCCTCAGTGTTCAGTTACCCTGGAGGTGGTGAGGTTAACGCTGACCGTCAGTGCTGGAGCCTAGCTCTTCTGGTCTGATCTTCCCCATGGATAATCATACCTGGAAGCAGTGAAGCTACAAAGGATACAAATGATCTGTTCCGAGGTTTCAAGAACATCTGGTAGTTTTTAGTTTTTCTTTCCTCATATTTCTCCAGTAGTGTATCTTCTTTCAATGCAGAAACACCTTAGAATATAGACTGATGACAGTATGAAAGCTCTTTGGAACTGTAAATGCTGATTTTCCAAGCTGCTTTTTTTTTAAAAGAAAAATCTACATATATGTGAAAATGCTGAGAGGAAACAATTAAAAGTAATGTCTATTTTATTGCAACTAAAATTTACAGCTTTTCAACACAGCAACTCCAGCAAGACTTGGAGAGACATCGAAAAGACTCATAAAATGCCCTTAAATATCCATTTGAAAGTGAATTTGTTTGTGGCCTTTCAGTGTTGCCAAAGAAGGGAAATTTCCTGAAACGTTTGCCGATTTTTCCTCAGACTCAGGGTATAATGTCCTAGTTACTGAGATCCTCTGGAAATTATTGAGGCAAACGGCAACTTGCTCATTTTCACTCATCCAGGAAATGAAATATACAAGCATATCTTTTATGATGTGGCAATGAAAACACTGGAATGTGTTGACTGATTCCTTAGAAAAGTCAGGTGGGAAGAATGTCCTTTTTTAAGCTGCTGGTATCTGATACGTTCCCCCAGATAAACTCGGTCACAGACCTAAGACATCTTAAGAGTTCATTGGTATGCCTGCCCAATTTATAGATTCTATCAGGTTTTCTGAACCTTGGCTCTGTTGATATTTGGGGTCAGATAATTCTTTCCTGGGAGAGGGAATGTCCTGTACCTTGTGGGGTGTTTAGTAGCATCTTTGGCCTCTACCCACTAGATACCAGTAGCCCCCTCCCTGCTAATTATAGCAACCAAAAATGTTTCCAGACATTGCCAAATTGCCCTTGGTTGAGAACCACTGCTGTAAATCTTAAAAAATAAAAATAAAACAACTTTACTACTTCCAAGACTTAAGATGTTATCTAGGATATTAGATAGATAGATAGAATGAAAGATAAAGATAAATGTAGATAAATGTATACTACATATATACATACATATATACAGAGTACACACTATATTACTTTAGTCTTATGTGTATGGATATCTACATAATGAGTATAAACATGTATTTAGCCTTATACATCTATCTATATAACAAAAAGTTGTGTCTTTCATGTACAGTTTTCTACGCCCTTTGATCTTTTAAAAGAAACAGGATAAGCTTAAAAATGATTTTCTTCTGTGTCTTAAAACTCTTGCAATATGCAGGACATGTGTGTTTTGAAAAGTGATTTTAATGTGTGGGCTGCCCGTTCCTTATTGATAGAAACCATTTCTTGCCTCCTACCCATCACTCTCAGATCTTAGATGGGAAGATTATGCTCCTGGGCTAGCTTCATGAGTGATCACATCGCTGCTTTCAAATATGCTTGTTGGTGGTACAATCTTATGTGCAGCTGTCCCCAAGAGCTACCCGACAAGTGCCCCCTTGGACTAGGTTTTCCATCTTTGCTCTCCCAACGTTTCTTCTTCCCTTCCGTGCTATCGGTACATTGATTCTGATCAATATACCGATAGCATGGTGTATTGTACCATGGTATATGGTATAACTCGCTCAAAGAAGCAGTCAAGAAAGCAGTGTATTGAAAACAAAGCCGTGAATCCGACCAGAAAGGTACTCAAGGTAAGTAAGAAGATGGGGTTGCATTTTTATGATGTGTGGGCAAAAGTCATCCTCGAAAAATCTGGCTCTGAGGCCAACCATTATTCCCTTTGGGGGAAGGTATCATGCAGAAATCTCCTGATTTTGGGAAATCTCACAATGACGTCTGTTGTCCTCGGCGCTTTACTCAGGAACACGGACCAAGTTTCAACTGAGAGAGAATGTTGACTTAACGCAGCACCTTTCTCTGGGCCAAGTTGCCTTCTTTGTAATCTCTCAAGTGGCATATTTAATTTACATTTGCAATAAAAAATATGTGAGGATAGCATTCAGCCCTCAGATTAATTATTTGGGTTTTCTAAATTCGGGAGAATTGACTTACTGAAGCAGATGTTTCTGAATGTTATCTCTTCACTGAAATCTCCACAAATTGAAATTCCTTTTAGACTTGCATGATTCCGGAGTCTGATAACCTGAAAATAACCATCCGATAAAGTTATTACACCTTACCTCCATGTCTCTGATCACATATTTTCAAGAAAGCATTGAAATTTGTACCAAAGTGCTTATGCAGGTGGTCTCTTAAAAGCTAGGCTCCCTCATGGCAAGTGAGAAAAATAACTGTCGTAGACCTAAGACTGTTGCTTGACGTCAACCTAAACGGAGTCTGTGCTCCTTACAAGCCCCTGAATGTTGGACAGCTTTGAACTGTGCATGTGTAAATTCCCTGTGAACCTCTAATTGAACAAAATTGAATGCCCGTCATTGTAACTTGGAGCTAATTTCATTCGTTAATGACTATACTGTCTGCAAAGGGAAGGCAGATGTTAGAAGAGCACTAACAAGGCCAAGTATGTTGAAATGTGTAGAGGAGGACTGTGTGTAGGTAAGAAATGCTGTTTCTTTTTGGAAATCTAGGGTGCATGCTTACATTTCCCTTCTTTTCTTCTTTCACTGGTACCATATAGACTGTATACATGGACACCAACATCCATTGGCCACTTCCTGGGTGATAAGCTAGAAACGAAGCAGCAAACCTTTGTCTCATTTACACTCACAGCTGACCTGAGAGACTAGAGGGACTTTGGTGGTTACTATCGCTGTCTTTTTACCCTGGATTCTAGGGCATAAGAATCCAAGTGCTTAAATGTCTCCTTCATAATCATCAACTTATGAGGTGATTGTGGCCAGTTCTTTTGAAAATATGAGGAAAAGACAGAGCTTCTTACCTACGGTTTATCTCTTGAAACTTGAAAAAAACCACCAGGCACACTAGGACTCCCCCATTGAATAGGTCCCATGCAGTCTGCCAGCACTGGCTAAACCAAATTCATTCCCTCAACAGTCAACAAATACGACATTGCTTGTATGTGGAATTTGTTTTTAACATCTTTATTGGGGTATAATTGCTTTACAATGGTGTGTTAGTTTCTGCTTTATAACAAAATGAATCAGTTACACATATACGTACGTTCCCATATCTCTTCCCTCTTGCGTCTCCCTCCCTCCGACCCTCCCTATCCCACCCCTCCAGGAGGTCACAAACCACCTAGCTGATCTCCCTGTGCTATGCGGCTGCTTCCCACTAGCTGTCTACCTTACGTTTGGTAGTGTGTATATGTCCATGCCTCTCTCTCGCTTTGTCACAGCTCACCCTTCCCCCTCCCCATATGCTCAAGTCCGTTCTCTAGTAGGTCTGTGTCTTTATTCCTGTCTTACCCCTAGGTTCTTCATGACATTTTTTTTTCTTAAATTCCATATATATGTGTTAGCATTGTATGTGGAATTTTAAAAAATGGTGCAAATGGACCTATTTGCAAAGGAGAAATAGAGTCACAGATGTAGAAAACAAACTTATGGTTACCAAAGGGGAAAGGTTGGGGGAGGGATAAACTGGGAGATTGGGATTGACATATACACACTACTGTATATAAGATAGATAACTAATAAGAACCTACCCTATAGCACAGGGAACTCTATTCAATACTCTGTAATGACCTATATGGGAATAGAATCTAAAAAAGAGTGGATGTACGTATATGTGTAAGTGATTCACTTTTCTGTACACCTGAAACTAACACAACATTGTAAATCAACTATACTCCAATAAAAATTAATTTAAAAAAACAGCCAACAAATATTTTTAGTCATCTGCTATGTGCTGGGAAGTGTCCTGAGAACCAAAAATATAGCAGCAAACCATAGAAACAGTTCTCTGCCCTCAGGGAGCTTCTATTCTAGCGTCAGGTAAGGGGAGAGAGGCTGTGAGAAGATAAACCAGTAAATAGAAAAAGATGACTTAGAGAGTGATAAGTTCTATAAAGAAAATTAAAGAGAAATGGGATGGAAAGTGATGGCCAGGGTGTAGAGGAGACTTTAGATTGGGTTATTAGGACATGACTCTCTGAGGAGGTCACATCTGAGTTGAGACAGAAAAGACAAGAATCATCCACACATGTGGACTTAGGGGAAGACTGTTCCCGACGAAGGGAATTGCAGTAACGGCCTTAAGACCGACGTGAGCTCGGTGTCCTTTATGTGTAGAAGAGAGCCTGTATACCTAGATTCTAGAGAGTGAGATTGGGTACTGCTATGGATGGAGTTATGTACTTCCGTCCCACTCCCCAACTAAAAAAAAATGTCATGCGTTGAAGCCCTAGCCCTCGATGTGACTGTATTTGGAGATAGTGCTTTTCAAGAGGAAATTAAAGTTAACTGGGGTCATAAGGCTGGGTCCCTAATCTGATAGGACTGTCTTCTAAGAAGAGAAATGACACCAGAGATCTCTCTCTCTCCATGTGGACACAGAAGAGGTTCCATGGGGACACAGTGAGAACGTAGCAGTCTGCATGGCAGGAAGAAACCCAACCTGCTGACACTTTGATCTTCGACTTCTAGCCTCCAAAACTGTGAGAAAATAAATTTCTGTTGTTTTAAGCCACCCAGTCCATGGTATTGTGTTAGGGGAGCTCTAACAGACGAATACAGGAGCCTAACCTAAGGACTAGTTGAAAATGAGGCCAGCGTCCTGTTAAAGAAAATACATTGCACTGTGGTTCAGAAGTTTTGATTTATTCTACATGTAATGGAATGTTATTCAAAAGGAGAGTCGATGTGGTCTAATTTATACTTTAAAGATGTCACTCTGGCTGCGATGTGAATAAACAATCATTTGGTTTGGGGAGCGTAGCAAGAGAGAGACCAGCTGGGAGCAAATGTTAGCAGCTTAGACTAGGCTGGTCACGGTAGAGATTATGAAAGGGACAGATTTCAAGATGTGTTCTGAAGGTAGAATCAACAGCATGATGTAGTATACTGAATACAGGGTGCGACGGTATGAAAGAACTCCTCAGACAATTATGGCTTGGTCAAATGAGAATAGGGTGGTTTTACTGAGGTGGTTATTTTCTCATCTGGGGAGGAATAGGCTATCAGAATGGAGTAGACAGGGATTAAGAGTTCTATTCTAGTTGTAGTAGAGATATCAAAGGGGAAAGTTGTATACAGTGGGCACTCTGTATCCATGGGCACTGCACCTGTGCATTCAACCAACTGCAGATCAGAAATAGTTTTTCAAAAAAATTCCAGAATGTTCCAAAAAGCAAAACTTGAATTTGCCACATGCCAGCAACCATTTATATAGCTTTTACATCACATTAGGTATTCTAAGTTATCTAGACACGATTTGAAGTATACGGGAAGAGGTGTGTAAGTTGTATGTAAATACTACTCCATTTTACATAATGAACTTGAACATCGTGGATTTTGGTATCTGTGGAGGCTTCTGGAGCCAATCCTCCACCAATACTGAAGGGCAATTGTTTATAAGTTTGGAGCTCAGTAGAGCAATCTTGAGTTGGAGATATAAATTTGGGATTTATTGGCAGGTGAAAGGTATTTTAAAAGGAACAAAAATTAAATTTCCTAAGAGCAGAATGTAGGTAAAAAGGAATCATGGCTCTGTGACCCAGATCCAGGTCAATCCCATATTTAGAGATCTCTCAAACAATTAAAGAAGAGTTAGCACAATTCTTTACAACCTCTTTCAGAAAATACAAGATGAAGAAGTACTTTCCAACTCATTGAATGAGGGCAAAACTACCTTGATATCACAACTAGACAAAGACATTACAAAAGAGAAAAGCTATAGACAATATCTCATATAAACTTAGCTGTAAAATTTCTAAACAAAGTATTAGCAACTTGAATCCAGCAAAATATATGTTAAGAATATGCACTATGGCCCAGAGGGCTTTATGCCAGTCACACGATGCTAGTTAAATACTTGAAAATCAATCAATGCAACCCACCATATCAACAGCTAAAGAAGAAAAATCACCTGATCGTGTCAATTCATAGAGATAAAACACATGGCAAAATTTAACACGTATATTGTGTACAAATTTATTTCTTATGTATATTATGTATATTATGTAAAAATACTTATGATATTTATATATTTTTAAACGTATACGTAAGGGGGTTTCCCTGGTGGCGCAGTGGTTGAGAGTCCGCCTGCCGATGCAGGGGACGCGGGTTCGTGCCCCGGTCCGGGAGGATCCCACATGCCGCGGAGCGGCTGGGCCCGTGAGCCATGGCCGCTGAGCCTGCACATCCGGAGCCTGTGCTCCGCAACGGGAGAGGCCACAGCAGTGAGAGGCCCGCGTACCACACACACACACAAAAAGTATATGTAAGGGGACATGACAACTAAATGCAATATGGTATCCTGGATAAGATCTTGGAACAGAACAAGAACGTTACTAATGAAAAAAAAGGAGCCTGCTGAAATCTGACTAAAGTCTGGAGTTTAGTCAATGGTGATGTTCCAATGTTGGTTTCTTAGTTTTGACCAATGTACCACAGAAATGTAAGGTGATAGCATTAGGAGAAACATACCGGGTGAAGGGTGTATGGGAACTCTCTGTACTGTCTTTGCAAGTTTTTGGTAAGTCTAAAATTATTTCAGAAGAAAAAGTATATTTAACAAACCATATTTTACAATTTAGGCCAAAAAATATCAAGTTCGTAAGAGTAAATAGAATAATGTGTAAGAGCAAAATTTTAAACGTGGTTGAAAGATAATAAGATCTGCATGAATGGAAAGGTATAAGAAGTGCATTCATTAGAAGAAGCAGTATGATACAGATGGCAACTTTCCCCAGATTTCAACAGAAATAGCAATAATATCCTGGGAGTGACAATTTGTTGGTCTCTGAGTAATAAAATTAAAAACAAAAAGAAGGCTAGGGAATTTAAACGTAAATGATTAACTGCAGAATACTTTTAACGAAAGATTTAATGTACTGGTCACCATAATTATTAATTAAGTGTCATCATTTCAGTTATTTACTCATTTCATGAGCAAACATGCACTGAATGCTTTATGACCCACGTGCTTTGTAGAGCCACTCTTCAAGAAGGAACACCATTGTCTACCAAATCGCTCCTCTACCCTGATAGCAATCCTCAGTACTATTTTGAAGGTAAATGTAGTGAGATCAATACACGTAAACCTAAATTACAAAGCAAATTTATGACCAGAATAAACAGGTACTTTCTCATCTCTTCACATCTTTGCTTCTGTGTAGGTAGAACTTGAACATGTTTGGTGTGGAGCTCATCAAACAAGACTGAGGGCAAGTCAGGCGGATGGAGCAACTGACTAACCGCAAAAGGCAACCAGCGGAAACTATTCAGTGATCGGTCCTGAAATAATAGTGCTTTTAAAGACTCCCCATGTTCCAGATGGTGGGCTGAGGCCTTGCAGGCAATCCATTCAACCCTTTCCATTGCCTCGAGGAGCCATGATCATTTATGACTCTGGTACAGACTAGGAAGTAGACTTACAGAGGTTCCTTAATACATGGACACCTGTAGAGCTAGAACGTGGTGAAGTTAGGATTCGAATCCAAGTCTAGACTGTCCAACTCTGCTTTATTCTTCCGAACTGACCCTGCGATAAGAGGCTGCTCTGTAGGACAAGCAGTAAGTCTCAAATATCTGGGCAGCCAGTGAGCCTGTTTGTTTAGGTAAAGGTGAAAATAGAATCATTCTCATTTTCTCTTGATAATAGATCCCTGAGTCATGGAGACTCTGAATACAAATGCTTTGGAATTCAGTTGAAATGTGTTTTCTTCTTTTAAAAAAGGGGGGCGGGGATTGAATTTCAAGCCAAGCGATTTCTGGAAAGAGTCACGCATGCAAGGCAGCGCTAGTACTCTGGAGGTCCCGCCATATTGGGACAGGTCCTAATTGGCGGAAAGAAAGGGAAAGATTCATAATGAATATAATAACAGGGCGAGATGGAACAAAAAGGACTCCTTTCTCTTTTCCTTCTAATCAAGGGCCCTGATAAAAGACACACAGACACATAGCAAGAGCCTTCCAAGGTTGAATCACATTTATTTCCAAACCTGCTGTCATTTAAAATGTAGGTTCAGAAAAATAAGCAACCAACAATCAAACAAAATCCTCTCATCTTGGGCCAAATTCTGAGCTGAACTAAAACAGGATATTTTCTAGAAGTCTATTAAATGTTTGGCCAACATGAAACAATCCTTTATTTGTTATAAAATGATTCTTAAGCTCCCACAGCTTCAATGATACTGACAGGTTTAAGTAAAGAGACCAGCATGGGGGAGAGCGTCCATGACAGCTCTTCAAATTGAATCATGGGAAATGCAGGGTGGGACCACTTTAATCATCATTTATATTATTACAGGTGCCCACTCTGATGACTCGTTGCGCTACTGCCTTTGATCTCCACTATAGAAAATGCTCTGCTCCATCTCAAAAGGGATTGCCGTGTGCCCCATTAGCTGGCCTTTGGATCAAACGAGCAGCAGACCTCACAGCTAGAATTCCACCGTTGGCCATTCACAAAGAGATAAATTGTAAGTCCTTTCCATCACTTCCAAATATTTCTTTCAACAGAGAACAATTTTAAAAAAAAAATCTATTAGCTAATTTTGCCATCTGCTCTGGTTACTAATAAGGTTTAGAATTCGGGCCTTAATCATAAAGTGTCCTGCCAAAGCCCTTCCCCACCCCCCCCCCCAAGCTATTGAAGGAATAAGAAAATTAAGCCTGGGTAGACGTTGTAAAAACTGTTTTTAATGTTCGCTTTATGCCTTTGCTGCTGATGGTAATGATACTCCTATCTGCAGTTCAAAGCCCGATTTTAGCTAAGGTTGCTGCTACTGAGCCATGATCAGTAGCAGGAGGTCTTTAATCCCTTTTCCGTGAGGTTTCTTTCTACTGTGTATTATTAGTCTGGGGGCCAGTAACATGCATTTCTGAGGTAAAGGAAAGGTGTTTTGCCATCGTAGGAGACAATAAATATAACTGGCCCGTGGAAGGGTAGAAAGTGTGGCTCATTTGCCACTAGGTTTTAATTATCTAAGACTAAATTAAGGAAGGCAGCTGTGGTAGAGTGGAATAACCTGGGACTTGTAGTCAAGGTCCTGAGACCAAAGCCACAGTGTGTCATCTACTAGCTGGTTATCCTTGGGTAAGTCCATTCAGACCTCGCAGATTCAGCGTCCTGTCTCTTATCAGAGACTAATCACAACAGCTTATCTTAATGAACCGTTGATTTAGTACTGATGAGACTAGTTTGTAAATGGTAAATCCTGCACAGGTGTTGACTAAAATAATGACTGAGCCCCAAGCCACAAGCTGCAGGGGGTTTGGGAGAGTATGCCAAGGAGCTATTAAATAACACAGCACAGAAAGATGAAATACCTATTTGTATTTGTTTTCTACGGCTGTGTAACTCTGTGGCTGAGAGCAGTACGCATGTATTATCTCACGGGTTCTGTGGGGCAGGAAGCTGGGCTTGGCTGGGTTGGGTTGTCCGGAAAGCTGCAGTCGAGGTGTTGGTCAGAGCTGGGTCCTCATCTGGAGGCTTGACTGGGGTGGATCCGCTACCAAACCCAGTGCGCTGGCAGGGTCATCTCCGTGGTTGTAGAACCCAGGTTCTCTGCTTCTTGCTGGCTGTTTGCCAGGGCTGCTCCCCGCTCCAGGAGATTGCCGTGGTTCTTTGTCATGTGGCCCTCTCATCAGGCCTTCTCACAACAGCTTCTTCCTTCGAAGCCATCAAAAGAGAAAGTCTTTGGCATGAGGCTGCTAGAAGGGCAGTTTTATATCAGTAATGTAACCATGGCAGTGACATCATCGCCTTTGTCACGTAACTATTTAGCATCATCACAGGAGAGGCAGCGTCCTCTGCAGCTTCTGTGGATCGAAGTAGGTTACAGTTACCGCCACACGCCACGGGAGCAGATTTCACAAAGGCGTGAACACTGGAAAGCGAGGGTCATGAGGCTGCCTTAGAGTCTGTCCACCAAACGGTTCATTTTCAGGTCCCTAGATGTTAAGTGTACACATCAGAGCATTTGTTCAATTTCTAGACCACAGAATGTAGGCATCAACCTTCCTACCTTTTCGACAGACCTGACTACAGAAACTAGCAAATAGTCATACAGAAATAGAATATGTCACATTCCTGCAAAGTAGAAAATACACAGAATATTCTACTTAGCCAAAGCTGGGTGTCCGACCTCGCTTTTTCTCCTCTAAAACAAGATGAAGATCATCTTAACTTCGATGAAGTTAGGTCGTTACAATGAGGGTTGCCACTGGGACCGGTGATGCAGTCATTCTCCGTCACCATTCACGTCGCCCCGGGCGCTGGGAGGTTGAGCGTTGTGGATTCTGTCAAGCCCGTTGAGTGCCCGTTGAGTTCAGCCAACGGGAGGCCACAGCAGGACTGAGGAGAGAAGAGCCAGGTCCCTTGCTCCATCATTTATTCCCCTCCCTGTAGGATCTGTTTGGGCTGCCTGGGTCTCTCTGAGGGCTCCGTCCCCGCCCCCATGTTATCCTCACAGGGCAGTCTCTCTACAGGACCCTCCCATCAGGATTCAGTAACTGCTCTCTTCCCTCGTCCATTTAGGCACAGATAACAATTTGGATGTCCCTAGCCCTGGGGTGCTGCCTTGATTGTGTGTACCCGTGTGTACGTGATTTCTCTGAATGCTTCCCACAGCTTTGCTAATAATTCCTGTATTAAATCTTCCTCAAATTACCGTAAGTCGAGCATGGCATTTTTTTTTTCTTGCAGGACTCTGGCAGATATATCACTCAAAGAATTTAAGTTTTATAAACACAGGGGTTTGTGCATAAAGGGTAATAAAAAATTGTTGAATGAATGGGAAAAAAACTCTTCGCCGGTGAGTGTAGTCTTTTCCCCATTCAATAATTCAGTAATTGAGGGGCTTCCTGTTCCTTGTGGCGTTCTAATGAGAGTCAATGTGATGGTTCATATTTCCTGGAAAATCTTCCTAAAGGCTCGAGATGATAAATATTGCTTATTCCAGAAGAGATAAGGGTGTTGATTTTTTAAAACTTTCTCCTTTACTCTTATCCAGCAAAGAGTTATGGGGGGGGGGAAAGGCAAGATGTGTATGTTTACAACAGAACCTCAGTGCTGACTGACATCTGTGCTTAATGATGCCATGATCCACATCCGTCTTTGGTGGAAGAAGCAACAGTGCAGTAGCAAAGGTTGTAATATTAAAGAATTGTTATAGCGTGCTAAAAAAAAAAAGGGCAAAATAAGTGAGAATATTGGATAAAGCTAAAATGTTGGAAAAAAATAGGCATGCTGTAAAGAAAGTCTAGGTAAAAGTATGTGAGGTGATAGAATAAACACTTGAGGACGTGTGAAATGTTTGATTTTTAAAGATAATTAAAAGGGAATTTGGCTGCATGTTCAATATTGCCTTGTATGGATGCAAACCGGGTAACTGAGCGATTAAATCAATAATTTTGAAGTCTTGTTATAGCTCTTATGGTTTATAGGACTGTGTCATCATGTTCTGCTGTTGATATTTGCTCAGTGGTGTCTGATCAATGAGATCTCACTGAGATTTCTCAAACATTTGTTTTAATCACACAGATAGGAGTTATCATAGCTGCAAGTAGGAACTAAGCAGCGGCCGGATTCCTGGGCTTTGTCTACATTCTTTTCTCATATGAGTTTTGACATTACAGACACAAGATATCCTGGATGGACAGAGGGCTTTGGAGTATGAAACCTGTTTCTAGACATAGAGTCATTTTGTTGGTTTGTTTGCCAGCTCAAGGGCCCCTTTTCTCTCAGTCTAATTCCTGTACTGCCATAAAAGTAGGACGCAGCATGTCAAGGCTGAACATCTGCTCCTCTATAGACATGCAGTCTGACTTTTAAAAGAGCAAGGACCTGGCTCTGGGACTCTTCGCAGACATCCTTAGTTTTTAAGCTGTATTCTGTACGCTCAGCTTTACGTCATCTTCTAGGAAGGCGTTTTTATGGGGAATCCATAGCTTACCTATACCAGAACTCGGTTAGTTACTCAAAAATAGTAAACATGTACATCCTGTTCTATGAATGTCTTCAGAGAACTTTTACAAATTTTTCTTTTCTATTTTTGAAATCCTGGTTGGAAAGCTCTGGTAGCAATCGTGGCAGAGGTACACTTGATGTAGTTCTAGGACCAGAGTCTAGAGACCTGTGATCCAGTCCCAGCTCTGCCATGATTTGACTGTGGAAGACGGAGCACTTTCTCTCACAGAGCTTCATTGTCAGCTTCTGAAAAGTAATCATACAAGAGCAATAGGTCCACCTGCAGAATAACCACGATCCATACAGTTTAAGATTCTCTAATGTGTCTGATTTTAACTTGCTCACAATACACTGAAGTTTAAGCTCGTTTCATGAAACTTCTTTTTTTCTTCATTTTATTGAAGTATAGTTGATTTACAATGTTGTGTTAATTTCTGCTGTACAGCAAAAGTGACTCAGTTATATATAGATATATACATATATACATATATATGTACTCTTTTTCATATTCTTTTCCATTATGGTTTGTCACAGGATAGTGAATACAGTTCCCTGTGCTATACAGTAGGACCCTGTTGTTCATCCATCCTGTATATACTAATTTTCATCTGCTAACCCCACACTCCCAGTCCTTCCCTTCCCCTCCCTTCCCTTCCCTTCCCCTCCCCTCCCCTCCCCTCCCTTCCCCTCCTCTTCCCCCTATGAAACTTCTGAATTAACCCATTCAAAATATTTATTGAACATTTGCTCTGTTCAGAGAGTTAGATGAGGTAATATAAGCGGAAGAAAGTAGCATAGTTATTGAGCCTTTTTTTTAATGTTCACTCTCTAAACATGGTCACTGCTTTTAAGGAACTGATGAGCTATTAAAGAGAAAGGCCATGTTTGCACATAAACCTGATGCTTGCCAGGGGGTGAAAAGAGAGGCTGGGACCAGCATCCAAAGACATAAAAAGTCGCTGTGTGTCTAGGAACCGTGGTAAGAAATACAATAGTAGCGAATGTGTGATCATTTACTGTGAGCCAGACCTGGGCCAAGTACTTCTCACAGGTGAAAACAGAGTTATTACCTGGGTACCATTATATGCTCCATTCTATGTTAGAAAGGGATATCACAGAGAAGTGAAGTGACTTCCCAAGGCCACAGAACTAGACAGTGCTAGAATCAGGGTGCTCATTCAGGCTGCTGTCTGCAATAAACCCACTCCTTTTCAGGTATGATCAAGACGCTTGATGTAGTCCAATGAAAGTGAAATTATTTTCAACAAGTGACATCAGAGAAGTCTTTATAATATTCTATCTTTTGGGCCTTTTCAGTGTTTCTCAAAGTTATTTTTTTTTAATCCCAAGACCATCTGTCTGAGAATCACTTGGGTGAACTTATTAAAAATATAGGCTCCTGGGCCCTCTCCTAGACTTATTAAATCACAATTCTGAGACTGGACAAGGAAATCCAAATTTTTAACAATCTCTTTGGTTTATTCTGATGTACACTAATGTTAACAAATTCTAAGGGAAAGATTAGATTTCAGTACGTGAAAAAGTTAAACAACAGTTAACAAAAGTTAAACAACAGTTCTAGGTAGAGAGAATATGAACAAAAATGTGGCATCCACAGATACGCCATCCTGGGGGTTTGAAAGCAAACATTTAGCAGGCATGTAGGGTGTAT